GGAGGTTGGCAGCTCAGGGGCCTGGGGGCAGGAAGCTGAGCCCTCCCCAAGGCACAGCCACAGAAATAAGTGGGCCAGTCTTTAATAGTGCTGTGAGGGGGAGCTGAGGTTCCCGGCCCTGCAGCCCCGCAGCAGCAAGAACAGAGGGTTTATTGCTTCTCCAGGGCACAGCCCAGCCTAGACGTGATGGCTACAGCTAGACTGGCATGATTTTCCGCAAATGCTTTTAACAGAATTCTCATCGCAATAGAAAGGATTGTCCCAAAAAAGCTATCGGACAGCCCTACGACAGACTACTGAGGCAGCTGCTGTCTTATGAATTAAGAGTCAGTTTCAGGAACGTGCCTTTCTGGAGAGGAGCTAGCCAAAATGTAGCAATTTGCTGACAAAATCTCCCCACCACAATCTTTTCTTCTTATGTGGGTCTGAAGGGAACGGGAACTGTTCTAGGCAGACTCATCTTATCCATAGGATGGTATGGGGCGGCTGCCCCCAGACCCTGTGCGTTGGGGGCCCCAGTGGCAGCCACCTGAACCATCCTATGAATGGGACCTGCAAGGCCTAGGGCAGCTGTTGGGATTACCTGGGGGGGGCAGGGCACAACACCCCAGCAGTGGTCCCCGTCCCAACCCCGCACTCGCAGCAGCAGGAGTCAGAGCAACCTGCTCCACTCTGCCCCATGGCCCATCTCCCAGCCCACATCGTTCCAGTTCAGCAGTGGCCATGGGCAGGGGCTCCAGGCCCCTTTGAATGGCCTGGCCCTGGGGCAGCTGCCCCTTTGCCCCGTCAGCGGCCTAGTTGCGCGTGGCTTGGAAGCGTGCCTCTCTCGCCAATAGAAGATGATCCAGTACAGTGTCTCCAATCCCTGAGACTGACACAGCTACAACTGCACATTTGAACACGGCCAGACAAGCTCTGTTGCTCCCACACATCCAGGCCTTATTGCTGATGACCCCAGAGCCTGGCTGTCCCCCAGCCCTCGGCCTGCACATCCCTGTCAGTCCCTGGCACTGGCAGGCATCTTCCCCAGCCGAGTTCCTGCCTGGGTGTGGCTGGGGCAGGAAGGGTGTCAGTCAGGGCGTTCGCACTGCTGTGGGCTGGGCAGGGTGTTTGCCGCGTGTGACCAGTGACTGCGTGAGAAGCAAAGTGCAGCGCAGCCTCTGGTCATTTTCGTCACTTTGGGCAATAAGCCAGAGGCCCAGCGCCTGTGAAGGCCCCATCCCTCTGAGGCACCCCTGACTCACAGCCCTGCTTGGCTAGAATGCAGCTGTTGAGGGAGGTCTCAGCTGTGAGGCAGAGGTTCTCAGGCAGCCAGGGCATGGAGGGCTTTGACCATGGCAGCAGAAATCCAACGCTGCCCTCAGTGTCCCTAGGCAGCCAGTGCGGAGTGGAGTGCTGGGCAGATATACCCTGGCAGGCTGCGCCGCTGTGGACTAGACTAGCTGGAACATTTCAGGGTGAGAGGTTTCATTCCTCAGTCAAATGAGCCACAGTCCCCAAGCCCAGAGGTCCTGAATTCCTGGGCTGACAGCCAGGTCTGTGCCTGCTCGGATGGGGGCAATTGGCCGCTCCGTTGCATATGGGAGTCGGCACTTTTGCCTTTGTGGTGTTGGGGTATTAACAGCGTTAAAGGGGCCAAATGGCACTGATGCCTCTGGCAGCACGAAGCATTGGAAAGGAGGCTGGGGTGGCACTGGCAGACCAGGTGGCAGCTCATGCCCAAGTCCCAGGCCTCACTGGACGCTTACAAATGCCTGGCTGGACACAAGGCCAACGCAGCTCAAAGTGCTTGTTCGTATGGGAGAAGGTCTGGGGCATTTAACCCTCCTGGAACGGCATGGATGCTGCCTGCTTTGCTGTCACGTATCCGTCTCCCATTACGGTGCAAGAGCAAACACGGACCCTGCATGCAGCCCTGCCACTAAATCCCCAGCCAGGGAGAAAGAAGCCCTGGGTAATGCAAATGAAGAACTTTAACCACAAAGGGCATAAGTCTTGTTCATTGCAACGATGCAAAGGAACTGGCAGATCGCTATGTCTCTGCTACCACTTGAGAATGGGAGACTGAGACTCACTTGCACAGGTATTTCACCGGCTCTCACCTCTCAGTAACTCCCAGCGAGTCACCCTTCAGAAAGCCGCTCTGGACCAGCACGGCTTTGCTGGGAGAGCGAGGCTACAGACTGAGCCAGGGGACTGACTGGGGACTGAACTGAACCTGCATGTGTAGAATCTTTGTCACACAGTCCCGCTTGCGTCTAGGGGACGGGCTGGGGCTTCGTGGTAAGGCCCCTGCGCTGTGGCGGGAGGTCACATTGCCTCCCCAGTCGCCCTGCTGCTGGCCGGCCGCTCGGCCCTGGGCTTCCAGTGCTTTTCCCTTGGCCCTGCTCTGGGCTCTAGCCAGCTGCTGCTCACCCGGCCACTGCCTGGGCAGGACACAGAGCTGGGTGCCCCTGAGCAGCTGCCATGCACCTGGGTGGTCTCACCAGCTCTCCTGATTGGTTCTTATCCCCTATTAAATACCAGGGAGGGGGAGGGGGTGAGCTGCCAGGAGGCCTCTGCACTCAGGGCTTTGGGGCAGGGCGACCTTGCGGGACCTTCCGAGAGGAAGTGTCCAGAGCTGCTTCAGGATCCCCCCTCCCCCCGCCCTGCCTGGGGGGATGGGACAGGAGAGCATGGTGACCAGCAGTACCACACTCTGCTGCCCCGCCAGCTGGGCCAGTCTGGGGCTGCACTTGCCCTGACTAGCAAGAGGCTGGGCCGGGCTGAGCTGTGCTGTGCTGGGCTGGGCCGGGCCGGGCCGTGCCGTGCTTGTGCTTGTGCTTGTGCTTGTGCTTGTGCTGTGCTGTGCTGTGCTGTGCCGGGCTGTGCCGGGCC